CAACCTCTTTGTCTCCGCCTACCAAAGGATTCTCGACGGCGACGACGCGCCTCCACTTCTCCTTAACATCGACGGGACGGCGGGTTGTGGCAAAACATACCTCATTCACGCGATTTGCCAACAGCTCCGGGCGATGGCCTCTCTTCACAACCAGCCTGACCCCGTGCGTGTTCTTGCACCATCGGGTGTGGCTGCCTTCAACATCCGTGGGCGTACTATCCACTCCGCCCTCGGGCTTCCGACAAACTCTGTGTTCCTCCCTCTTTCCGGCTCCCGTCTTGCAACGCTCCAAGAAGAATGGCGCGGTGTCCGGTTCGTGATCGTCGACGAAAAGTCGATGCTCGGCTTCCGAATTCTGTCGAAGATGGACTCCCGACTTCGTCAGCTCAGTCCTGAACACGTGGGTGACCCATTCGGCGGATTCAATCTCGCTCTCGTTGGAGATTTTGCCCAGCTACCCCCCGTCAAAGATATCGCGATGTACTGTCCGCCACTTAGCGGCGACTCCGAGAGTGCTGTTGCGACCCGAGAGGGCTACCGCCTCTATCGCCTATTCACACAATCCTTCACGCTACGTGTGGTCCATCGACAAGAGGGCGATTCGCCCGAACAACAGCGATTTCGGGAACTGCTTCGACATGCATCGACCGGTTCTGTCAGCCTCGATGACTGGAAGCTGTTGCAAACTCGTGCACAGTCAGCACTCATACCTCAAGACCTCGCTCAATTTGGTGACGCCATTGGTCTCTACTCTCGGAAACAAGATGTCAAAGCCTTGAACTTGCAGGAGATTCAGGCGCTCAACGAGCCTTGTGCCCGCATCGCTGCCCGACATGATGGAGGCTCTGTGGCTGAGAAGGCTGAATCGGATACTGCCGGCGGGCTTCATCGGCACTTCATCGTGTCGCGCCGTGCCAAAGTCATGATAACACGAAACCTTTGGCAAGAACACGGTCCGTTTGTTATTTCTCAATTGATTGAACCCATCTAATCTCCGACTTGCAGGCCTCGTCAACGCCACTTTGGGAACAGTTGAAGACGTTATTTGGTCGGAAGATGCAACATCCGCCGCAGACCTTCCTTTGGTCGTGCTTGTTTCCTGCCCAGACTACACCGGCCCCACTCTCTGGCATACCGATGGAGGAATCCCGATTGTGCCGGTACCTGTCGTCAAATCGACATTCGACATTGCCGGGAAACACTGCACCAGGACCCAGGTTCCCCTGACACTGGCTTGGGCAGTGACAATTCACAAGTCGCAGGGTTTGACTCTCCGAAAAATCAGGCTCGGACTGGGGGATCGGGAGTTTGCCGTTGGTCTGACTTTCGTGGGGCTGTCGCGGGTGAAATCTCTTTCGGATGTTCTTTTAGTTCAACGAGTGGATTATTCGCGCGTACAGAAGTTGGGCGGAAAGAATTTGCAACATAGATTAGACGACCATTCTCGTAGATATCCATCATAGATGTAGTGTACTCAAAACTCAGATTCGAAGCGAGCTTTTCGTCGCGCGCGGTTCCATATTATGTACACTAGTAGTAAGAATCATAATGGCACTCTACTGTACCTTGGTGCACATTCAATGCAGACATCATGATGCTCAGACTCAACTTGAAGTTAGACTTTAGCAAGGACTGCCACTATAATATAGACTATAGCTATAATGTCAGGAGAGCATTGCCTTATCTATGAAGGCATTTATCGCTGTTTAATCGAATGTTGGGATCAAAGTTGGAAGTCGGAAGTCTGAACTTTTGTGTGACATGCAGGGCAGGTGTAGTTGGTACTCAGAAGTTGAAGGCCATACAAATAGAAGTCTAACTATGATTCATTTTTGTGCTTATATCCAGTTTTGACCATATTTGGACTGATGTCTGGAATTTTTATTATTTTAATTATGTTGGCCAGTGTTATTTGACTCTGAGCTGTATAAGTATCAGTTTAATCAAATGGTTCACATTATACTTGCACCTTAAAAGCCTACTTAACATTGAATAAAGATCACTAAGACCATTTTGAGCAAGAAAATAGTCTTCTCAGCTGTAAAAAAATTCCAACAGTCAATATTTAATGCAAAATATGACTTTTGCTAATTCATAGTCCTGTACTATTTTGTTCAATTTGGCCAGATCACTGGTTTTGATAAACTCAAAAATTGCCAAAAAATCTGAGAAATCAAGCAAAAAATATTATCAGTGTTTCTGTCAGGGGAACCCCCCCTTTCGGCCCCTCGGAGACACGTCCGACTCCGGTCCGATTCCGGTTCCGACTCCGGTCCGGCCCTCCATCTCGCCCGCACAATCACCGATCCATCAACACCCTCCCGACAGTCGCCCTGGGACCTCGCCTGCGACACTGCCCAAGCCTTCTGTGCCCGACAGTGGCAGCTACGGACAAGCAGTATATAGTCAGCTCCCTAGCAGGCAGACCCTTAGAGTTTCTTCTCTTTGGATCCTCCCCTGCTAGGTCAGCTTCATTTGTATTCGCTTACCAATGTTCACGCTTTGGATCCTCCCCTGCTAGGACCTTGATCTCGGGCCTCCGGGGTTGCCCTTACATGTAGCTTCTATTCACGCTTTGGATCCTCCCCTGCTAGGCTTTCGTCAGAGTCTCCAGGGTTGTCCTTACAGCCTGGACTGTTTTGTTGTATAATATATCAGCAATAGCTTTGAACTGGCATCAATATCATCCATTGACTTACTGATAATTCAAGGATAATTTATTCTACCTTATGTTTATTTTATTTTTATTTTATTTTCTCTCTCTCTCTCTCTCTGTTTTCTCCTTTCAAGGCCCAAATATGTCTGCCACAAATGTCAAATTATTTATAGTTTATTTTAGCTTTTGATTAGATGGCCACTTTATAGGTGGCCTATAAGTGATAGCACTCAATACTACATATCTTTACAATAGCTGATTTATCCAAGTTCAGAGTTCAGAGTTTGCACTTCCATCATATGGTCATGTGACTGGATTCACAAGTCTGAAGTTCACACTTTGGTCCAACTACCAACTTGCCACTTCAGACTTGCCTCCAACTTCTGACTTCGAAGTTTGATATTACATAAATGATGTGACTTTGACCTTCTGCATTAATTAAACAGTGAAAATACACCTCATACTTATGGACATATGAACTCTAAACACTCAACATAGTCCCCCAAGCATTGACATCAGAGAGGTCACTGAAATTTCACGAAGTCGAGCCGAGGGTGATGACAAGTCCAAGCTGACGAAGTTACCGGATCTACTCCGTAACATCACGGACGATCAGCGGACGATCAGCAGGAAGCTCGTCACTCCGTCACACACCCACTTTTCTTTCCCTCCCTCTTCCTCGTCCCCCTGCGCATCGATTGCCCTGTACGTGCAAAACACTGCCATTCCCCCGACTCATCTAACAAAGTAGCAGTTGCGTGTCAGCCTTACCATTCGCTGGCCGCCGCCAGCCCGCTTTCGTCATAACAACGATGCTGGATCCACTCTGAGTGCGTGGTGGGCCAAGGTGTGTAGCTGTGAACTCGTTGACCGCGCTCATCTCTTTCAACAGCCATGTCCGGGTGGGTCTACATCAACGTCATGTCCCGTCGGTTTTTAGTGCGGCATGGGCCGCGGTTGCTGTGGGCGGCGTTGTACGCAAGGACGGTGAGTGCTGGACCCATTTCTTGATCATCCCGGCTGAGATTTGAGTAACAGATACTGCCAGCACCCGCCATCGCTGGGGCTCTCTGGTCGGCCAAGGTGTGTGCTCGTGAACTCTCTGACCACGCTCATTTCTCTCAACAGCCACATCCGGGTGGGCATATCATCACATTCCATCGGTTTCTAGCACCGCATGGGCCGTGGTCGCTGTAGGCGGCGTTGAACGCGAGAACGGTGAGTGCTGGACCCACCTATTGATCATCCTGGCTGAGATGCGAGCGCCAGGTACCGCCAGCACGGTCCCCCCATCGCAAAGAGCCAGCGTTTGGATCATTGAGCGCCAAATGCTGGCTCTGTGCGCGCATTCGGCCTCGAAATCTGAGCCGCGGCAGTGCTCTTATGTACGCTCTCGGCAGTAGGGTGGGGCCGCGGACGAGGGCAGTCAACGCGTTGGTGGCGGGCGCGTCGGTGCGGCGAGTGCAGTACGGACATTGCTGTGTAGCTGGATGATTGAGCTGGTATTACCTTTGTATATTAGCTACACTGCAATACATTTTGTGTGTATTTCTACCCTGGTTGTGTCTGCCTAAGAGTCTTCTAGACATCCTTGTACATGTCCTTGTAGAGGCCTTGTATGGCCTTGTGGGCCTTGTAGGCCTTCTACAAGGATGAGACATGACTTGTAGAAGGCCTCCCACAAGGCCGGCCTTCTACGACCTTGTAGGCCTTCTACGGCCTTGTAGGCCTTCTACAAGGCCTACAAGGCCCTCAGAAGGCTTTGTCATTTTCCTGATGTGTGATCATGATGGTGATGGACTGATGCCAAATCCACGGCCAAATGTGCGGAAATGATAATCTCTAGTAGCTTGACTTTATGGCGAGTGAAAGTGAGTCCTCTGCGGGAAGCTAAATCCTTCCACTGGCAAGGTCATCCACACCGTCGTCGCAATAATAATAATCCAGTAAGTACTTACGCCGAAAATGCTTGTCGTAAGTTGAACAACAAGCATACGATGTGAGATCGAGCGAATCATCCACCACATATCTTCCATTTCTAATCACGTTCCAGGGCCCACAGTCAAATTTCAAATTTCGTCAACATCTAAAGCCAATGTCGATGACTCATCGAAGTGATCCGCCTGCGATGGAATGATGATCGACAGCCACGTCATCATTCATAATTTTCTTTCCTCCACTCACCACCAGACGCTGAACTCTGCGGTGGGCGTCTATTCGGCGCCATGCGGCCGCGCGATCACATTTACCTCCCATCATCCTTCTAGATCTCTGCTGCGCCTTCTGCACGGAATGCTATGGCACAGCCGCGACGTCGGACGGCTACCACTCTCCCTTCCCCACCATGAAGACGATGGACGACGTCTCCCACTCGCCCGACGCCGACGACTGGAAGCTGAGCGGGCGGGCCGACAGCTACGACACGTCCTCGGGCTCGTCTGACGCGCAGTCATCAAGCACAGTGCCTGGCCCCGGCGAGCTCAGCGGGAAGGCGATTATGGCGCTGGGAAGGGCGACCATCCGCGGCATCGACCACTTCGTCATCATGCGCCAGCTCGCAGTCATCGCGGGGCAGTTCCCGCTGCGCGGAGCTGCTGGGGAGAGGGAGGAGGAGGTGCGAGAGATGTTTGTTGATTTGCTCGAGTTTTCACGGTGCGTGTATCCGTTGTCGCGAAGCCAGTTCCTAATGATGAGGATAGACCAGGACTGTACCGAGAGGAGGTCAACAAAAAGGCGCTGCGTCTGCTGCTTGCCCAAATCGCCACGGGCGAAACGGCGCTGCTCATCCGCGTGCTTTCGCAGTGGGACAAACTCGAGCTGAAGCTCTTCCTTGCGGAAGTGCTGGTCCAGTTGGCCCCACTTTGGTGCGTGTCTATATTCCCACTCCTACCCCAACACCGAACATTCACAGGAACCCCCGCTTGGGCTCTTTCCTCTCCGCTCCACTCCTAACCGCCTACACCAATGCCGGGCCACCCACACCCATGACCCCGCTGCTCCACTTCTTATCTAGGCTCGTGCGCACTCGTGCGTCCATTTGTCAGGTGACCCTCGATGTAGGGGTTCTCGAAGTCATAGCAAGTCTTCGGGACTTTAGCCAATGCGTTCCGTTTACGAACGTCCTACTCCTCGACATCGCGGCTTATCCAGAGCATCGACAAGTCCTCTCGGCCCACCCGCTGCTCAAGCTCTGGCCTCTCCATCCAATCACTCAGGATACTGTTTGCCCGCCGTTCGCCACGCGAGAGCGCGTCATGTTCCTTAACTCAGAACGTGATATTCTGGAAGCTGACTTGGTGCTATATGGGACCATCAACTTGTATGTCCTTCTATCTCTCTCTTCGTCTTTCTAATCGAAAACAGACTCTCCTTGATTGCTTTGCCTTGTATCTCTGGACTGGACTCCCCGCAGCTCTTCGCCGGACTAGCATTCGGCGTGGAGTACGACCAGGCACTGCGGGTGTACCTGCTTACGAGCCCGTACAAAGCCAAGGTTGCGCTGCTTTCGCGGATATTCAGATACGTCCGGGAGTACTCTGCAAGGTGAACAGAGTGCCAATGCTTGTTTCTGCAGCTGACTTGAATCGATTAGAAAGGAAGACGGACTCCGTAGCCGATACTCCGTTCTCTTTGCGCTCAAGCTGGTCTCCGCTGCAGCGTGGGGCCCCAGCAACCGTGCGGCTCTTCTAGATGCCGGGGTCATTGGTTTCCTCGTTCGCATCGTCGAAACCGAAGTGCCCCAAAGCTATGCTGGAATTGCAGCCAGCCAAATTCCAGACCTGCTTGCTATCTCGCCACCCACCGGGAAGGCAACGCGCTCACGTGGCCGTACACGCGCAAAGACAGAGTCGCAAGCCGAGGCGCCGGAAATTGTGCCGTACGATCTGTCAAGCGTTCCAGCGGGAATATGCGACGCCGGCCTTGCGCGGTTGCTCGGCGGACCGTTGGCTCGGACGTCCCGTCTCGTCGGGCTGATCGCAGCAGCCTTTGCGGCGCTTTTCCCGCCGGAAAGTGGACATTGACGTACTTACGAGGGAGACGGACTCGACATGGACCCTGTGTTGCCCTTCGGCAAGGAATTTACATATATTTATTTATACCCAGACCGTTCCCACGCGCTCTCCTTCCTTCGCTCCACCATGGACCCGAAATCGTACACCGAGCACACCATGACGCTCCCTGACGGTGTTGCCATCCGCTACCTCGATAGCGGCATGCCCGCCACCAACGACTTCACCACGCTCGTCTCATTCCATGGGACCGGGATCAACAGCTGTAACGCCGTCCTTTGTGAACCGTCTATCCCCATGAACTCACGAGCGAGCGCGATAGATAGCTATGCACCAATGGTGCCGTACGCTCAAATGAACAACGTGCGACTGATCTTGTGTAATCGACGGGACTATCGCGGGTCGACGCCATACAGCCACGCAGAGCTGGAGGAGCTCTATGCGGGCGAGCAGGCATTCCAGGACCGGCTGGCGGTGCAAGTCGCGTGGGTGATGGAGTACTTCGTGCTCGCTGGGGAGGTGAGGGCGATTGGCAGGGGCAGAGACGGAGAAAAGACGGGCGGGATCATTCTCATGGGATGGAGCTCTGGGAACAACACCACTCTCGCGGTGCTGGGCAATCCCACAGCGCTTCCCCCGGAAACATATATGACAAGGCGATCGAGCCATATTGGAGGTCGTTGGTGCTGTACGGTACGCTATTCATGATGCACTCGGTAAAGGTCAAGAACATGATGTCTCCCTGGCAGACCCCTCATCAATGGCGCTCGGCCTCCCCCTCCCGCTGGGTGACAAGCGGCCGCCGACGGCAGGCGCACCGCCGGAGGAGCTCTTCTCACAGTTTTGCGCATGGGTATCCTCGTTCTATGTTCATCCAGATATTGCGAGCGGCCTTCCTTCTGGGCTGTGCTTCGACGACCAGCCGACTCTGCGGCAGACAGCGAAGCTGTGGTCGGCAGAGCAGACGGCGCTCTACTGCGACATGTCGGGCGCTGTGCGCTCGTGGGCTCCCAAGTGCGTTTCTTCACCACTAGCATTATCCGAGCTCCGACTAAATCGCTACCGGAGCAGCCCTGTACCCATGCAAGCGACTCTCCACGGGCAAACCGAGCGCGCGCTCTTCGACGCCGGACTCGCGCGTGAGTACTTCCCCCATCTCGCCGTGCTGCACATTGCGGGCGACCAGACACCGTCTTCCGAGATATGGGCGTTCATAGAGCTACGCCGACGTCACAATAGGGCTTGGTTTATATAGGGGTGTTTGTAAACCGGTTTATAAACACCCCTGTTTTATATGTTTATAAACAGCCTGGTTGGAAACCCCCTGTTTTATGGTTTTATATTAGTAAGCACCCAAAAAGGATAGAAGCTAGCAAACCAGACTTACTTTACACCAATATTGCTTCTATATACTGCTAGTAGGTTTGATCATATCTTATAGGTCTATTATAATATATTGTTTCTTATCAAGTAGGATCTCAACCCACTTTCGGCTCATATTGCCATATTGAGCATGATTAATCCTAGTAAGTATTGGGAGCTTGGCTGTGTGACTATACTGTCTAACCATACAGATTAATTATTATCAAGGTTATCATGATTTTTAAGTGTTCTAAAGGATTCATGACAGGGGATCTAAAGACTGCTGATAAGTAAATTGTACATATTATATATAACTAATTCATGTTATGCAAACTTACAAGTGATAGTTGATATAACCTTGCTGTTTCAACCCCTAATGTCTATAAATGTTAAAGTCATGAAGTTAAAACACCCACATTTGCTGCAAAAAATTTCCTAAAAAGGCAATTTTAATCTCTCTGGTCATATCAGCTTAGTTGGTTTATAAAACCTAAAAACCGGTTTATAAACAGGGTTTCAGAGGCTATTTTTATCAAACCGTTTGATAACCTCCAAAATCTTTACAAACCAAGCCCTACGTCACAATGCGGGGGAGGCCGCCCGCCCGGTCCGCTTTGTGCTCATCCCCGGGGAAAATCACTTTGTAGGTGCGGTCGAGGGTTCTTATGTGTGGTATTTATCATATTTGCAGCTACACTACGAGATTCCGGAGCGGTTCATGCGCAAAATCCTCCGTGCGTGTCAGCCGTTGGACTAGAAGTGTTGATAAGCTTGTAATGCTCTTATTGATATATTTCAACAACTATTTAAATCCAGCACTAAGACAAAAACAAACACTATGCTATATCCTGGGGTTCTTAATCATTAAATTATGTATTATATTATCCATCTTATATTAATAATTTTAATAAATAAAATTCAGCCAAACTTGTTGTTACTTGTATACACAATTGAGTATGAGTAATCTTGACTCCCATAGTGCATCCTGGAATCTCACAGCTGTTGCGCTGCTTATAAGAGGAAAAAAGACACACAATATAAACAGAAAATGGTTGTGTTTTGCAGGTTTTAGAATGCATACACCATTCCGGCCCTATGGGAAATTTGAAGACCAAGTAAGAGGGTGGACACAACTGAGGATACTGAATCCTGCCAGTGGAAGATAAACAGCAAGCTATAAGTAGATTACTTGATTCTCATTATATCAGGAGCTTCTAAGAAGCGCAATCACTTTCCGTGTGGAAGGACGCATCTCCCAGCACATTACACTAAAGAGTTCACCTGCTCTATGCCCTCCTTTCATGTATTGCCCTCTAGGCTCTGGGAGTGTGTATGTAGTTGCCAGAATATTCATGAATGTTTCTAAGTAGCAATACTCATAAGAAATATTCATGAATATTCTCAGTGACGCGGCTGCTGCTACTAGAGGGTCTTTTTTAGTAGGTGTTATAATACTTAGTGAGGCATATTGACAATTTGAAAGCAGTTACCTTTCTGGATGATAATAGCTTTTTTTCAATTTGGCAATCAATCCCTTTACTGTTAGAGAAGAGAATGGTACAGTAGGTAAAACAAAGATAAGAAAGAAGTATACACCTGAACAATTCAAGTTCCTGAGGATTGTGATAATTTGGGCTGAGATATTCCTGCAGTCATAGTACTTGCTAGAGTACAATGCATAGATGGTCTTTGGGAGGTAGAGTAAGGGTGTAATAGATACCCAAAAACTCTGTCAGAGATAGGATACTGTAGTATTTAGATCATGTGTCCATGTTACACATTACACGCAGGTGCGGCGCAGAACAGCCTCTGTTACGCGTTCAGGCCCAGATTCCCATCAAAAAATCGCCTTAAAAAGGCAATTTTTCGGTCAGGCTGACGCCAGACTTGCCTTTGATGGCAGTCCGGACACCTTGCCTGGCGGACAGTGTGTGTTACATGGTACATGCCGCGGACAGTAAGGGCAATCCTGGAGACTCTGATGAAAGCCTAGCAGGGAAGGATCTGAAGTGTGAATAAAAGCTACAGGAAATACACAGAGGGACCAACCTAGCAGGGGAGGATCCAAAGAGAAGAAACTCTAAGGAACTCTAAGGTCCACCTGCTATGGCGCCAAGTATATACTGGCTATCCGTAACTGGCAATGTAGAGTGCAGAAGGCCTGAGTGGCGTCACAGGCTCTGTCCCAAGGTGATTGTTGGGGGTCTTGACGGGGGCGAAGGAGGCCGGGGACAAGGGTCGGTATGGGTTGGAGCGTCTGAGGGGGTGCTGGTTGGAAGCGCCTCAGATGCGCTCAGAAGGTCCGAAGGAGGCCGAAGCGGGGGTCCCTTTGAATGCAGTGTCCTGACGCATAATCCGGAAGGGTAGCGAATTGAAAGTTGCCGAGGCGATATGTCAAGGTTTACATGGGTATCTCCGGTAGAAGTCTGCAACTTTGTCTGGAGCTGTCAGGGGAACCTCCCTTTGGGCCCCTCGGAGATGATTCCGATTCCAGTCCGATTTCAGTTTTGATTGTGTTTGAAGCCTGGTTGAACCCTTGTTGGAGCATTCTGAGTTTGAGTCCCAACGTACGCCAGTGTAAGGGCAACCTTGCGAGGCTCAAAATCAGAGTTCTGAGCAGAGGGGGAATCCTTAGTGAAACTACTATAACAGGAAGGGACGCTACAGACTCACCTGAGCAGAGGGGGAATCCTTCGAGAACAAGCCAAGGAGCCCTCTGCTCAGGTGCACTACTATATACTAGCGACCGGAGTAATGATAGAGTGACTGCATAGCGACAAACGACGCATGGGAGAAGTCAGGTGTCGCTAATAGTCCCTAAGTGAGTGGCGAGTAGCCCTCAAAGCTCCGGAGAGGCAGGTTTGGGACCGTGATGCCAAGGGAAGAGCCCAGGCATCCTTAGAAGGCCCAGGAAGGGCTTCGGGGTCCAGGCTGCCTCTGGGCGTCTCCGCTTGTGACCGTGACCGTGACCGTGACAACCGGAATCAGAATCGATTCTGGGTGTGTGACCATGACATGACGGCCGGAAATGGAGAGGGGAGGCATAGAGCAGAGAGGGAAGGAGTCAGTCTAGCCCAAGGGCCGGGGAGTGTCGGAGAGGACCAATGGGAATGGCAGCCAGCCATGACCACTGGAGGGTAGCGACAGGAGGGTCACTCGGAGATGTCCCCGGACATCTCCAGAGAGGTGGAGGTGTGGCACTGTGTGGGGGTGTGCAGTCTGGGGCACTGCAGTAGGCACAAGCCTTAACAACAGTAGGCCTCACCCAGGGAAAGACCTGATGATGGGGCTGTGGTGGCGGAGTGGAGGAGCGGAGCCATGGCAAGGCTCAGCTATCCGAATGTAAGCCCAAATGCTGACATAGGTTGGAGATACCCTGTTGGGAATGGCATCACCGGCCGGCACTTATTCAGCCCGGCCGCTCTGGACCTTCCCCGAGTTTCTCTCTGTTTCTGCTTACTACTATTCTCCCTCCCTGTAGAACTATCTAGAACAAACAGCAATACTATATAAACCTTTGTATTAGCTACCAATAAACATACTCTTCTTCTATCTCCTCCTGCTCCTCTGCGCCTCTTCTTCCGCCTCCATCCTCAACAGGTTATGGGCCCCGGCCATAACTGAATTGCCCGAGTATCACACGCCGCCGG